TTCGTAGCTATTTTTTGGTCTAGTGGTATTCGTATCATATGTAGAATTGCTGTATAGACTCGCAAGTAATTTGGCACTCAAAACGAAGTATTATTCAATGCTTTTTCCCATTAGAAACCTTTCAGAAATAGCTTTTTTTTTTAAAAAAAAATTTGTTTTGTTTTGATCATGCGGTCGCGTGGGATAGTTCACGTACTGGTCCCGCGAACATCCCGCACGCAACTGTAGGGAGCCTCCTTAAGTGAAAAAAGTAAATGTTTTGTGGTGTTCGAAGCAAGAGCTCAAAATCTCAAGAATAATGAGATATACATGTACAGTATATGATATCATTACAATATTTCCTATATACGTTATCCGGATATCTATTTTATGAAATATAAAATACGAGCATTTGCAATTATATTGCTAATACTAACTTTGCCATCGGGTAGCCTTATTCGTAGAGACAAGCTGTCGTTGTCTTCAGATTCTCCTGTCTCATGTGACCCTTCCCCTGTGCCAGGCGTTGTCGCAGAGCCATCGTGCATTCTCATACTTTTTACCCTTTCACCCTAAGAATCAAAATGAGAAATTTTCAATCGTGTCCTACTTTGCCTTTCAGGATTAACTTGATTGCACATTCGAAGATGTCCTCAGGAGTCAGGAACATACAATGAGATGGCAGCATTGAGGGTGCGATAATTCAAAAATTTTAGTCGTACCCGACTGGTACGTCAATGATTATTAGGTACTTGAGCTAGTACAAATTCAATACTCGATGTGTACCTAGTCTTTACAGTAAAGTACATATAATACAGATTTCTGAAAAGTATAGTCAAACTACGCACAATAGCATACAGTATACAAACAATCGACTCCAACATTTCTTAGTCATGCCATCAGTCCAATCATATTTTATGCCAAGACATGTCAGACTTACACATGATATACCAACTAAATTACGGTGATGAATATCTTGGGCTTGGTAAAGTATGTACTAGCAAAAAGTAAGTACGCAGATAGCAAGTAGTACTGTACATGTACATGTATTGTTATTGCAAAGCTTTCGTTTCGATCCGTACAAGCTTCGATCTTCATCAGCGCTAATAATATAAGATTCTTCAATACTGTACGTGGAGTTTTCCACAAACCAAAACAAATATTATATTATCACCATGCAAACAAACAAATAATCATATGAAGTACTGTAATGCATGTATGCCTTCGCAGCCGGTAAACATACACCTAGGAATTGCCGAACATTCCCCTTCCACTTTGCATTTGTTTAGGGGAGGAGGCATTTATGGAAGAAATTGCACTCATGCAGTTGTACTAGAGGTAATACGTATGTACCTTTTCTCTTCGTTCTTTTTTCTCATCTTCAAGATTCTTCAACAGATATTGTTTTTGTCTTTTCTGTTCAGCCTTTTCTAATCTTAATAAACAAAATTTTATTCAGATTTACTGTAGGTTTTATAGGTACAGTACAACGCCTTATGTATTTGAACAAGAGCTAATTGACTAAGAAGTAACGTTTCGATCCTGCATGTACAGTAATGCTATTCACTTTTGTATGTTCAGTACAAAAAAAACTTGAATAAGGTATAACTGTAAATATTTTCAAAAGTATGATAATTTATTTTAACTATAATTTTACAATCTACAATTAATAGTATTTGTTATGGAGATTGTAGATAATTACAGTATATTGTAAATGTTATGTTGTAAAAATGCCTAATGTTTTCAAAAATGATTTTTTCTGTGTTGGTGTAATGTACTTAGGTGAATATGATGCTTGTGATGTTACTCTGAGTGTATATCCACACCGGGCAAGCTTGAAAAATATGCCTGGCCACGGTGGGAACCGAACCTACAGTACGACCTTTGGAATACTAGCCCAATGCTCTGCCAACTGAACTACGCGGTCAGGTCGGTTCGAGTATGTGATATTTCGGAACCGAGTCTAGTTCCTATAGGCTATACACTCAGAGTAACATCACAAGCATCGTTTTCAAAAATGTTGACCTATTAAAGCTTTGTATCCTGTTTCAGTGTGAAAAATTTGTTAATAACATGTAATTGTACCTTGCTGCTTCAATTGCTTCCAATCTAACTCGTTCTTGAAAGCGATGTCTTTCATCAATAGTAGTTTGATATCGTGAAACTGGACCTGCCTTGAAATTTCAAAAATACAAATAATACTTCAAACGATGTCAATTTAATTTAAACAAAGGTTAAATATAGTGCAAAATTAACGGTCTTAGTAGAAGAGTATGGTTACCTATACAGTAGTTGTATAGACATTAGGAACCGTTCGTTAGTTATGCCTAGCTAGATGGTCAAGTAACTATTGGTTAAGATCCGATGAAATGGTGGGACCAAATCATGAACCGTATTTTTTATGAACCAGACCAATTATGTTTCACATACTTCAGAAGTTGTTGCAACAGGATGAGCATGACGGTTATCTCCAATCTTTTCTTGTACAACAGTTTCACTGGGCGTGCTTGGTTGATGGAATTGTGCCATTTGGATTTCAGTCACTTTATCAGGATTGCTGTTGATCCTAGAAATTTCAGGTACATGTATACTGTACATGCATTTTTAGACCTAACCAGGGGCAGCTGCAACTACATGTACTGTACAGTATAGGCCATCTGGCAGGAATCGAATCACAGGGACACATTACACTCGAGAGACTCGCTCAGACACTGAAATGACTCAACTTGTGACTTGAACTCTAAGTTGGTCAGATTTCTGCCAAACATTTCTTCTTCAAATCTTCATCGCATTGGTATAGTAAGGTTGTAGCTAGTTCTGGGATTTATACAATACAGTAATTAATTTGTACAAATCTGACTTTATTAGTTTATTCTTGCTATTTATTGGTTAAAGGCGACATTGATGCACAATAGATTACAAAGAAAGAAGACAATGGTCAACCTGATAACAACCGCCGGTGTTCCGGCCGCCGCCTTGTTACGATAGCACTGTTTTTCATGCCATGTCATTCTCGCATATCTACTGTATCATATAGGTACTGTATGTTAAGTGACATATTGTGCCCTACTGTATTATTGTCCACCGTTAGACAGTTTTACTGGTCAAGGGGAAAGTGCTGGCACTCAATGGGTTAAGACATACATAAACAGTACTGTACCAGTCAATTGCAGGTTGAACTCCTTGGTTCTTAGTTATCAACAAAGCTTTCTCAGCAACAGCCACATCAAATCCTTTCAATAATAAAATATACCCAGTTGACAGCCTGACATGTTGACCAGATTTACATGTACAGGGTGTACAGTATAAAAAAAAACGTAATTGAACTTCAGCGCGCTATTGTATCTGAATTACTCTGCGTATGAACGAGAAAGATCATGCTTTTAGCTATTGAATGATATCTTCTTCATGCCAAATGGATAAAAAATGAGCAAATGCGAATCCGATAAAAAATGTTAGTCAGAATCGCATATTTTCACTGTTGAGAGTTGGGTCTAAAACCATTGAAAATGAACCCCCTTTGGTACTTAAGTTGATGAATTTCACAATGAACGACGCACATATTCATAATTATTATTAAGTAGGAATAATATAGTAGTAGGAATAATAAATAAATATAGTAGGAATAATAAATAAATTAGCTAAGCTACGACACGTTCGTGATTAATTGCTTTTTCTTTTGTTAGGCATTGCTTTAATTAGGCACAGAGGTGAAAATATGCAATTTTGACTAACATTTTTGATCGGCCTCGTACGCGCTTATTTTTTCTCCACTTGGTATGAAAAGCATGTCATTCAATAACTAAACGCCTGATCTTTCCGAATATGAAAACCAATTGTTCATACGCCCAGTGATTCACGTATAATAGCGCGCTGAAGTTCGATTACCTTTTTTTATACACCCTGTATAATAATTAATAATTTTAACATCCTGCAGTGGGTTAAACATTGATAGTACTGTAACCTTGACGTTTGGCTGCAGGGTATGAAATTTAAAAAAAAAATTATCCAAGTACTAGTATCCCATCTGAGAATCCAGTATCCCACACTACTGGTCACCATATCTTCAGAGTTACACTTGTTTTGTGTTTTGTTAAAATGCTCAGTAGTTGTTAAAATGCTCAGTAACAACCAGAGACTCAAGAAGGCTGAGACTCATAGTATTCAAAGCTGTTGGGAGCCTACCAGTGACATTTAACATTATCCTAATGTTTGAAAATTTGTAATATATTCCAATCGGATACAAGTCATTCGCAGTTTGGTATCCAAAATCAAATTTAGTATCCTGTGGATATTGGCATACTGAACTCAGACCCTGAGTCCAATCCAAGGATTTCAAGATGCAGGTTTCATTTTGGAAACATAACTTCAACATTACAATCATAAATTCTATTCTGACTTACCCATTTCTTTCATGTATGACAAAAGTGTCATATCTGCTTTCACAGTCTCATCAAACATACTGGAATCTAATGTATAAAGACAAACCCTGCGTTAGGAATTGGGGATAAACGTCAGGTTACAGTACATTCAAGTACAATACATACATGTACAGTACATACAACCAGTATGGGGGGGAGGGGGGCAGTTTGTCTTGGCCCCTAGCTCAAGTTACATGTCTTCAATGCAACAAAGTTTCTTAAATTTTCGCAACACAGGAAAATATACCACTACGCTCAATTTTTGGTACGGCATGGATAAAATTGGTACCTGTACCACTTTTTTGGTTCTTGGACTACCTATTTAGGTAGTCCAAGAACCAAAAAGTGGTATGGTACCAAAGATTGAGCGTAGTGTAAACGGGGCTTAGCTAAATAGATAGTCCAAAAACCAAAAAAAGTGGTACGGGTACCAATTTTATCCGTGCCGTACCAAAAATTGAGCGTAGTGTAAACAGGGCTTTAGTTGTGTCTGTGCCAGATAATATGCAATAAAGTAAAATATTCAGTAATGTAGAACATTACTTGTCCTGTTTTACAATTATGACATCGTAGAGACCCCTGGGAAAGTTTTGCCCCAGGCCCCACGCAACCTCTTGTTGCCCCTGCATACAACTAACTGTATGAAGTACCTGCTGACCCTCTCAACTTTAGAACACTGCTGGTTGGAGGTTGTTGTTGTGATGTGGTGAGTTTGGTGTTGGTATCTGGATTAGCCTGTACATTATCTACGTTTACAGTATCCAATGTAGCTTTTACTTCATCAAGATGCACTCCTTCTGGTAACACCAAGAAGTCATCAGACTAAAGTAACAGAAAATTATATGATTTAACAACCCATTGAGTGCCACTCACTGCACACTCCCTGTGACAAGTTGTCTGGCGTTAGACAGAGTGAAATAATAAAGTAATGCACATTGGGTGTAATGCAACTTTAATAATGGGTTAATAATATACAGTACAGCAGGGGCTGCATGAATTACATACTGTAGATGTATACACTGTATAAGGTGTAAAAAAAATACCTGTGGTTCCAGTTCCCGACCGACCCTATTTTTTTCTGCCAACCCTATTATTTTTTTCAACGCGACCGCCTGTGCGACCCTATTTTCTCCAGGTGGTCCGCTCCAGGTGGTCTATTTTCTCCAGGTGGTCTCCAGGCGGGCTGCTCGTACAGGTACAGCGTGCCAAAATGGCGTCTGTTGTCACACTAATTATTAAACCAAATCGCCCTTTATTTCCGACCTACCGACCCTAATTTTTTCACGATATGAAACCGGAACCACAGGTATTTTTTTTTACTCCTAGTAAGTTTGACAAGCTTATGCAACACAAATTAAGTTATATAATTTATATTTAACCTCTTCAAATCCAGCCAAAAGTAAAAAGGATCTTGCATCCTCATTACTCCAGATAATTGAATGAAATTTTGGATTGCCTATATAAATCATAGAAACAAATTAACCTATCGAGTGACAGCACTCTCTACTTTACGAGTAAAATCATCTGCATGGCATCAGACAGAGTAAAATACTAAAGTAGGGTGCATTAGGGTGCATTGCCACTTAAAAGGTTAATTGTATGAAACAATTACTGTGCCTTAATCAGCTTAAATTGGGCCAAATAAAAAATATACTTGGTTAACGTCACACTCTCACAAATTTTCAGAGGCGGGAGGGCGGTTTTTTTTTAAATTTTTACTATGAGAACCTTGTATACCCAAGCCCACATGCTCCTATCGATCAGTATATAGCACAAAGGTCTGAGCATCAGAAAAATTTCCAATATTAAACTGTTTTAAGCTGTAAAACGAGCAGATTTACATAAGGCGGCAGAAATCGAGAGGTGGGCGGTGACACTAACCAAGTTTGTTTTTTTTATTTGGCCTTAATGGCACCTACTGTAGCTTGCATACTGTACAAGGGTGAACAGTAACAGAGATCACTTTCATTAATGATTCTTTTACTGTGACTAATCATCATTAGGGTAAAGGAGGACAAGGAGCAGGTTTTCACAAGAAGGTAGGTCCAGTCAATGGTGAAATTTAAAGGTCAGTACAGTTCCAGGGGCTGAGGTTTTTGACAACTTAAAGAAAGATCTGTACTCATTCTTTAAGTCTTGGGTACAAGTTTGCATTTAATATATTTCCGGTTGAGCCCACATTCCATATTTTGCTTCAATACATGTGCCTTAATTTTTGAGCTATGGGCCTATAAATAATGTATGTGCTTTGATATTTTCATATCATACAATATAAAAAGCTTACCCACTTCCACCCTAACATTGATACAGTGGGTGATTACTTAGGTGATTATCAAGGTGATTATCAAACCACCTTTAGCGTGCTTCGTCAAGAGAATTGTCTGTTCACAGGCTAACCACCTCTGGCTCAAAGCAGTCACAGCGCCCCCCCCCCCCCCCCCCCC